ATAACAACATACAACACTGGTTGACTATTGTAACCAACGTACCATACTCTGTAGAAAATTAGCAACAGGAAGCTTAGTGTGGGGACCTTCACACCATCTAAAAGTGTTCTGATAGAAAAAGTTTATTGCAAACATAAAAACAAATTTTAAAACTATTCCTTTCGGGGTGTGTGGATGAGCACAGCTGGTGGGCAAGGGGTGCTATGCAGGGGCTAGGGGTCAGGTTGCCCCTCCCCGGGGCTAGTGACCCTCCTGGCCGTCGGCTCTTCCCGGGGGCAGGGGGGGTGCAGTGGGGGGCACGCCTGGCGCCATTCTCCACTCCCCAGTTGTTGGAAGCACAAAGCCTTTCCAGGAGGACTCCGGCCTTTCCTTTGTTCCCAGCTTATTTTAATTCCAGAAGAGGAGGAGCCCCACCCTATCTCCAGCAACCCAGTGAGGTCCTCCCAGAATAATGGGGCACCCCAGGGCGGGGTGCCCTCCTACCCAGCCCACTCCATGATCCACCGCCGCCCAAGACCCAGGGGACCCCGCAGCCCCCATCGCTGCAGCACACAGTCCCATTCCCAGCCTGAGTTCCCAGGCCTCCCAGGACAATAGGAGTCCTCTGGCTCGCCCTCCCTCCCTTGCCTTCCTTCCAGCTCTCCCCTCCTCCGCTCCTCCTCCTCCTCCTCAGCTCTTACTCCAACTCCCACCTAACTGGGCCCTGAAAGGCCGCCCAGCAGGGCTTCTGCCTGGGGTACACTGTGCTTCTCACCCAGGAGCTGCAGTAGGGGTACTCCAGCCCTTCCTGTACATGCTCCGAAACCAGTCTTGCAGGGCCATGAACACAGGGGCTTGGCAGGACAGGCGGAGGCTTAGATGGGGCTGGTAGGGGACAGCCTCCCAGCCATCAGCTGGGGTCCTGGGACGTCTACCCAAATCCTTCCCAGCAGCTGCTGCCCGGGGAGGAGGCAGTCGGCAAGATACACCTCTGCAAAGCCCTGCAAACACCCTGAGAATGCGCCTTTGTTCTGCTCAGGTGCTCAGCACCCCACGCGAGCTGCCCTGGGCACACGGCAGCTGTCCCTACCAACTTCAACATTCCCATGGCTGCTCAGGTCAGCACACTAGAGGCCAGACTTCTGGCCTCTGGTTCCCACTTTGGGAAACTCCACCTAATCATCCCGGCTGGAGGTGAGGATGGGTCTGTGAACTTCATGCCCCACAGAAGCCCAGCTTGCCCTGGCTGGACGCGGGAGGTGGTGCACGGGGTGCAGTTCAGAGAGCTGCCATGCCTCCCTCTTTAGCCCCCTGGGACAGGTGGCAGCTGAGCTGAGGCCTGCAGGATCCGAGGGAGGTCAGCAAAGAAGAGGCAGCCCAGGCAGTGGGCCAAGCACGGGCCAAGGCGCAGGGAGGGCACCTCCGGAGGTGCACGGCTCTTCAGTGCTGGGGAGCCGGAGGGCTACCTTGTGCCCAATCTTGCACACCTTTGAGAGGAAGTTAGCTTGATCTTCAGCACAGTGACAAATAAAAATGGCAAGCAATAGCATATATTGGAGAATATGAGGAAGCCATTTGGTATAAACCTAATTCGGCCTGACGTTGTCTTTCCAAAAGGGCCTGACCCAGGCCGTTGAGCATGCATTGTATATCTGCTTTAGAGATTCCCTATGGCAAGAGCAAAAGGCCCTTGAGATAAAGGTGCAACTTCCCTCCCCCTCCCAACATTGGCATTTCTTTAAGGATTAAGCATCTTTCCTTAGGCCAGAAACTGACTGCTGCGCTCACCTGTGACTGCTCAGAGACAATAGACTTGCCTCCTAGAGAGCAGACCCACTGCCTGCTGTGTCCATCAAGCGCTGTGCCGACAGGGCAATCTTGTGACTATTGTGGGAGGGACATTTCAATCATACGTGAAACGTCCTGTATGGGGGTATATAACCACTCTGTATACCTCACTTCCTTGGTGCCCTTTCTTCCTTCGGGAAGAAAGGCTCCGGGCCATGGTCCTCTGATTTCAGCTCAGAATAAACTCACCCAAACTTTCATTTATAGATTGGTTATGGATTATTTTCGCTGACAACAGAGAAAGGCCCAAAGAAGAGCAGTTAGGAAGGGATTGCTCAGATTTATGTTGCTGAGAGAAGCATGCAGCGCGCAGACCAGAAGGACGAGGTCACTGTGGGGTCCAAGAGAGCCAGGAGGATGGTATCATTACCCTCCTGGGGAAGACTGGAGGAGGGGGGTGGGAGGGAGGGTGTGGACCTGTCAAGTCTGATCTAGGGGCCTGTTGCACCCCCCAAATGTGGAGGACGCTGTTCTGAACATCTGGAGACACCCCATGAAGGTCCCTGTAGCAATGGGAGCGTCCTGGAACTCGCACAGGCCATCTCAGCAGCCACTTCGCCCTTCACATCTCTCTTTGGCCACCTCCAGCCCAGCCACCTCCCCCTCAGCAGCCTCTGGCCTCACAGAGGCAACAGTAGCCCCAGATGGCAGCTCCCTCACGTTCCTGCCACTGGCCTGGGAACCTACCTCCCCTCCCAACTGGTGGCACAGGATGAAGGAGGGCCCCGACCGTTGGCTTCAGCCACCTTTCTCAGGCCCCTTCAGCTTTGCTCTTTTCACCCTCTTCCCTCCCCGCAGCCATAGGCACTTCCCCAAAGTGTCATCAGCTCGCCCACGTCTTTCTCCAGCCACTGCCTTCTCTCTCCACCATGCTCCTTGGACAAGAAAGATCTTAAATTCTCAAAAGAGTCGCCTGGATGGGGCCACATCCTCATTTTCTCCTGCTTCTCTCGGTGCTGTCTAGCGTCTAGCGTCTGCCCACACCTCTCCATTAAAGCAGCCCACACCTAGGTCATTGCCAGAGACCACCCTCCCTTCACAGGCACCCGTCACCCCTCCTCCTTCTGCAACAAGGTCCTTTGCCTACTTCACCCTCTCCTTTCCTCTCTTAAATGTGCACAGGGGGTGTCTTCAGGTCCCCTGGGCCAGCCCTCTTCCCCCTGACCTCATTCCCCAGGTGGCCCCTGCTTCTCCAGTCCATCTGTGGGTCGCGTACTTCTCTATCGCCTTTGTCTTCAGACCAGGTTCAGTCCTAGGCTGGGCCAGAGAAGACTCAAGTTAGGGTCTTCTGATGAGCAGTGCGACCCTGCCACTTCAAGGGTTCCTAAAACCCCTGTGGCCCCCACAGCCGACGCACAGGTGACCCTGCCAGTCTCCCACACATGCCCACTGAGGCTCCTCCAGCAAGCCTAGGGGGGAGATGCTGCCCCTCCCTCACCTAGCAGGCTCAATCTGGCTCTGGCCGGAACTGCTTTTCTTCCTAAAGCTGCCGAATGGCCGAGGGTTTAGCTTAACAGGATGAGCCATCTGGGGACTGCAGCGTGGCAATCAGGAAGCCTGCGACAGGGGGAGGCGGGGGACACACTTTATATCCCTGGCCAGGACAACGACACCTTCCTTCCCCACCCCATGGCTGCTCTTGGCCCTGGAAAATTTTGAACAGACTGCTCAGCTGCCAGTGGGGAGGCAGCCGAACAACCTTGCTCTTGTTGGGGAGGCCTGGAGGTCCCAGGGGTAGAGAAGCCCAGAGGGTGGGGTGCTGGGGCCTCCCAGCTGAGGCCTTTGGGGGAGGGTCTATGCACCCGCCAGGCACCAGGGGGCAGCCTTACCCTATTCCTGCCCGAGTCTCCTGTAGGTAGAGCTGGGGCAGGGCGACAGGGATCCCTATGACCCCTCCACCTTGCTGACAAAGTGTAGCTGTGCCCCTCAGCCAGACGGGCTCCCCGCTGCTGGCTTAGGATACTCAGAGATCTGTCACTCCAAGAGCTAGGACCCTGACTTCCAGCTTCCAGGGCTGCGCCGCTCGGGTAGGGCTGAATGCCAGGAGCAGGCAGGGTGGTGCCTCTGGCAAAACCCCACAGCACACCTGGAGGCAAACCCTCCACTCCCCAGCCTTCTCTTGCCCGCGGCTGGGCCCAGCCCTTCCGGAGGCGGGACCACCCTGCACCCCCTCTGGTGCAGGGAGCTGGGAATCTGTAGGCCTTGGTACCCAACATTAGCCCAGCCTCCAGCTGAGAGTCAGAGAAGGGCAAGAGATGGGACAGGCTGGAAGGAGGGGGAGAAGGGGAGAGAGGGGCCAAGGATGGCTGGAAGGCAGCCAGGGAAGTGGCTCTCCTAGAACCGGGAAGGGCAGGTTAGGAGAGGCGATCTGGGCTGGCACCACGCCCAGGTAAACCTAGGGTCGGGGCGGTTCGGCCCCTCGGGAGGAGGTCCTGGCTGGCGCCCCAGGTAGCAGCCATCCTGCTTGCCGCTGGAGCGGCGTCTTCTCCTCTGGAGGAGGGCGGGAGGAGGTGGGCGGAGTGACGGGGAGGGAGGGAGGGAGGGGCGGAGGAGGGGGAGGGGGACCAGCTCGGTCGTGGGGGTGGGGCGACAGTGACATCACCCCGGAGTCGGTTCTTAAGCGGCAGCCGGTCGGGCCGGGGAGGAGAGAGACGGTCGGAGCGCAGTGGCAAGTCGCTGAGTCCGCCGCGGCCCCGAGAGCGGCTGGAGCCGCCGCCGCCGCCGCCGGAAGGAGGGGCGAGCGCGCCCGGGCCGCCGCCACCGCCGCCGCCACCGCCGCCGCCGGAGCCGCGGGCGAGCCGGGCAGCCGCGCGGGCCCGGGCCGGGGCGGGGGGCGCGGGCCGCAGACCCTGCTCCGGCCGCCCCTTGTAGGCAGTGGGCGCCCGATGCCGCCCGCACCGCCCCGTAGCCTGAGCCTCGGGCCGGGCGAGCCGCCGCCGCCGCCGCCGCCGCCGGAGCCGCGCGCAGGAGCCTCGGGAGCCGCCGCCGCCGCCCGGCCGGGCCCCGCCGCCGCCCGCGCGCCCCCGGGCCCCCGACACACATGAGATTCTTCAGGCTCACTTTCAAGTGCTTCGTGGACTGCTTCTGACCGCGTCGCCCCCGCTGCCCCGACCCCCGGCGGTCCCGCGCCTTCGGGGCCCCCCCGTGCCGCCGGCGCCCCCAGCCGCCCGCCCGCCCGCCCCCGCGAGGTGCCGCGCCCCCCGGCCCGGCCGCGCGGCCCGCCGGGGCCATGGCGAAGAAGAGCGCCGAGAATGGCATCTACAGCGTGTCCGGCGACGAGAAGAAGGGCCCCCTGATCACGCCCGGGCCCGACGGGGCCCCGGCCAAGGGCGACGGCCCCGCGGGTCTGGGGGCGCCCGGCGGCCGCCTGGCCGTACCGCCGCGCGAGACCTGGACGCGCCAGATGGACTTCATCATGTCGTGCGTGGGCTTCGCCGTGGGCCTGGGCAACGTGTGGCGCTTCCCCTACCTGTGCTACAAGAACGGCGGAGGTGAGCGCCCCCGTCCCGCCGCGCCTCCTCGCCGGGGCCCCCTCCCCCGCCCGCCGCCGGCCCCACCGGGGCGCAAGGGCGAAGTCCACGGGGTGGGGAGGGCCCCCGCGGTAGCCGGGGGACCGGGGGCCGCCCCTCGCCGGCCGCCGCCGCTCGGTGGCCCAGCCCGGCGGCCTCCACCCCCCTCGCCGGTCATGTGCCTGGCAGGGTGTGGGGGGAGGGGCCGGCGAAGCTCCTGCCGAAGCCGCGGGGCTGCCCCCCCAGGCTCCCGGCCCGAGGGCCCGAGGGCCCTGGAGTGATTGGCCACTGAGGTGGGAAGAGGAGGCCTGCCCCCTGGGGGGCTCCCAGAGGTGAGGAGCCCTGGCTGCCCCCGCTGGTCAGGCACACAAGTGGCACATTGTGTGGGCCCCCCACGTGTGCACACACGGACACACACACACACAATGGGCCACTCTGTCCCTCCCCCTGCCCTCCCCTCCCTTCCCTTCCCTTCCCCTCTCTTCACTTCCCCTCTCTCCCCTTCCCTCCCCTCCCCGCCCTCCTCCCCTCCAGCCTGGGCCTGGAACACTGGGGGCCTGAGCCAGGCTTGGGAAGCCTGCGGCCTGGGCCGCCTGGCGCCGCTGCTAGACACACTGCATGCACACCCCATGCCTGCCCGCCTGCCCCAGCCCAGCTTAGCAACGGCGATGGGCACGCGTGTGTCCTGTGACTGCAAAGCAGCACCAGGGTTGGTGGGAAACTGAGGCCCAGAGTGAAGGCCTTTGCCCAAGGTCACACACAAGAAGGATGCTGGGACCAGGAGCTGCGCAAGCTGCAGCCAAGGCTGCCAAGCCCCGCTTCTGAGTAGTGGAGAGAGCTGAGCCAGGTTCAAGAGTAGGGGGCCTGGAGAGGAGGACAGGGCAGTGGACAAGGGCTGCTGGTACCCAGCTCCCCACCCCCCCACCCCCAATCTGTGGTCTCTGGCCCTGCCTGCCACCTACAGAGCCAGGCTCATTGGTGTATGCTGTACCTGGCTGTTCCCCCCACCCCCACCCCACCTTGTCTCCCTCTGTCCTTGCTCACCTTCAGCCCACTGACAGAGGACTGCCACCCACCCTCTTCCCTGGACCTTCACACTCGCCCAAGCTAGGCAGGCCCCCAGGTCTGAACGCCAGCCATGGTGCACACATGCACATGCACGCACATGCCCTCACTGTTACTTGCTGTGCTGCCTGGGAAACGGGGAACTGCGACAGGAGGGATGGCTTGTGTGTGCAAGCGCATGTGTCCTCCATGCCCATGAGGTCGCTCTAGGTGACCGTGGGGGCGGAAGCCTTGTGGGTGTAGAGTCCTGGAAGCTCTAAGGGCCCAGGGGCTGCTAGAGCCCCCTCCACCACTCCAAACCCCCCCCCCCAAGTCTGTTCACCTTGGGCCTCTGAGTCAGTGGCCACCCCTGCACTGATTCACCAGTGGGAAGTTATGATGGTGCTGGGGTGGAGTCCAGAGCTGGGGCTCCACCCCGGCCTCGCAGGGCTTCTGAAAGCCTGGCCTAGGCCGCTTGGCTGGGGGTTTGGGGGTCAAGTCCTCCTGTGCTCTCTCCTCTAGGTGTATTCCTTATTCCCTACGTCCTGATCGCCCTGATTGGAGGAATCCCCATTTTCTTCTTGGAGATCTCGCTGGGCCAGTTCATGAAGGCCGGCAGCATCAATGTCTGGAACATCTGCCCCCTGTTCAAAGGTGAGCAGTCCTGGGCCAGCCCCTGTTGCCCTCTCCCTCAGCGCCTCCTCCCCTTTCCCATTGCTGGGGCAAGTTTGGCACCCACTTGAGAAATCTCATCCTGTCTGAGCACTGGGCCTGGGGCCCAGTGATGCCCCCAAGTTGTGAGGGGGAAGCTGGAGGACATGAAGACCACCCAGTGACTTTGGGAGGCAGAGACTAGAGTGGGGGATTGGGCCTCTCCACCAGGGCTTGGATGCTCAGGCCCTAGCAGGGTGGGGGATAGGCCCTGCCAAGAACACTTGGCTCACTGGAGCTGAGTGGAGGGTGGCTGGGTGCAAGAAATGATAGTGGGAGAAGCTGCCTGGGGCCAGCTCTCCCAAAGCCAGAGGGCCAGCCTAAGGAGCTTGGACAGGAGCCATCGAAAGTTCAGGGTCTGAATGGAAGGACTAATGGCAAAGGTCATCTTAGAGCCCCTTCTGTATGTGGGCAGTGTTCTCCCATCATCTCTCGAGGCCCTAGGAGGTAGGTCCTACTATTACCATCCCCAAGGAAGCTGGGACACAGAGAGGTGAAGTGACTGGCTGAGGTTGCACACTGAGAGGGTGACTGTTGCCTACACTGCCCCAGGTCACCAGAAAGTGCCCCAGCTGCTGAGTACTGGAGGCCACTGGGGGGCCATGTGGAGGCTTGGCCCTCCCTCAAGCACTGTGGGGGCAGGGGGACCCAAGAGAAGGGGACGGGTGCATGAGGCTAGGGAATCAACAGGACTAAACGCTCGGGTCGGGGCAGGATGGGAGAGGCTCTGCCTTCAGTCTGGGGAGGATGCAGGAGATGAGGTGTGCACAGTGGGCAAGGAGCAGGGGCTGATTTTTGGCAGGGGACAAATTGGTCAGTTAGCCCAGCATCGGGACATTTCCACAAGAGAGAGTCCAGAGGGCCTCGAAGAAGTCTCCAGAGCACAACAGAGAAGGATTTGGTGGGATGGATGGTGGGGAGGGGGAGGACGGCAGGGAGCACCGGCAATCCCTGGTAGGATAGACAATAGGGGCAGCAGGGAGCTGACCAGAGGAAAGCCTGCATGGAAACCCCTTCCCCCGCAGGCCTGGGCTACGCCTCCATGGTGATCGTCTTCTACTGCAACACCTACTACATCATGGTGCTGGCCTGGGGCTTCTATTACCTGGTGAAGTCCTTCACCACCACGCTGCCCTGGGCCACGTGTGGCCATACCTGGAACACTCCCGACTGTGTGGAGATCTTCCGCCACGAAGACTGTGCCAATGCCAGCCTGGCCAACCTCACATGTGACCAGCTTGCTGACCGCCGGTCCCCAGTCATTGAGTTCTGGGAGTAAGTCAGGCACCTCTGGGCCGGGTCCATCCTGTCCCTCTGGTCTCCCACATGTGGCCTGAGTCTGTGCGTGCCAGGGCCCAGCCCTGGGAGGATAAGGCCAGGGATGCAGAGCAAGCCACGCTGGCCAGCCTAGGGGAGGGGAGACTGCTGCTACACATGTTGGGGGTGGCCACAGGCTTGGGCCCAGGCCCAGCCCAGGTGCTCAGGAGGGACCAGCTGGACTCCAGGGCTGCATGAGGGGGAGCACCACCCCTGGGACAGCTCCCTGTCGCTTTGCTCTCTGCTGGCACAGCCCTCATGGGCTCTCCCTCCCCCAGGAACAAAGTCTTGCGGCTTTCTGGGGGGTTGGAGGTACCAGGGGCCCTCAACTGGGAGGTGACCCTGTGTCTGCTGGCCTGCTGGGTGCTGGTGTACTTCTGTGTCTGGAAGGGGGTCAAGTCAACAGGAAAGGTATGGCTGGAGGCGGGCACGGCTGGATGACGGCAGGGCTGGAGGGCGGCATTGTCTGGGGGAGGGGTGTCTCTGCCAGGGACCCCTGTTGCAACGGGAGGTGACTGGGCCAGGGCCAGGGCCTCTATTCCTCACTCACGATCTGAGTGTGTTTTGATGGTCTGGGTGGGCCTGGCCTATGGCTGTCTCTCTCGCCTGCCTCTCTGGCCCCGGGGACCCAGGGGGAGTCCAGACACATGCCCTCCCTCGGGGGCTCTCTGTCAGGTTGGGGAGACAAATGTGTGAACAGACGCATAATAAGACAGTGTGCCGAGGACTGTGGGACATGGCCAGGTCCCTGGAGGGCTGGCTCATTCCCTGCGGGGTCCACAGAGCAGCCGCTTGCTGGGCTGGTAGGCCCGCTTAGACGGGAGGCAGAGGCCTCCATCGGCCACCTTGCTCTTGCCTCTGTCTCTGGCTGGGCCGCTTCTAATCCCAGCTACCTAGGACCCCACCTCTCTGCAGAGGATGACCTGGAGTCGCTGGCACAGGAGGCATGGGAACTGCCCCCATGCTGATGTCCCACTCTGCCTGGGGAGGGCCCTGCCTCTCCCCTCCCTCCGCGGCTGACCTGTGCTCGCCATGGGGCTGCTGGTGCTCCAGCTGAGCACCCAGCTTCCTTTGGGAGGAGCCATGGCTCCGAGGAGTAGAAGTGGGGGGCGCTGCTGACTGGCCTCCCTCCTTACCTCTGAACACACTGTCCAGTAGCCCGGGACCATGGCCTGCCCGGCCGTCCTGCTCAGGCTGGGGGCCTCCAAGGGGGAGGTGGGTGCTGCAGGCCCCTCTGAGCAGCCTGGCCCCCCAGATCGTGTACTTCACCGCTACATTCCCCTACGTGGTCCTCGTTGTGCTGCTGGTGCGTGGAGTGCTGCTGCCTGGCGCCTTGGACGGCATCATCTACTATCTCAAGCCTGACTGGTCGAAGCTGGGGTCTCCTCAGGTGAGGTGGAGGCAGGGCTGGGGGGCAGGGAAACAAGGGGCAGGCCGGCCCAGCAGGGTCCCTCATACCCACTCTTCCCTGCCTGTCTCCAGGTATGGATAGATGCCGGGACCCAGATTTTCTTCTCTTACGCCATTGGCCTGGGAGCCCTCACAGCCCTGGGCAGCTACAATCGCTTCAACAACAACTGCTACAAGTAGGCACCATAGTCCTGCCAACCCTGACCTGCCTGCCTGTGGGCAACAGGCAGCCTAACCAGCCCACATGGTTCCTTCTTGCCCACAGGGACGCCATCATCCTCGCGCTCATCAACAGCGGGACCAGCTTCTTTGCTGGCTTTGTGGTCTTCTCCATCCTGGGCTTCATGGCTGCAGAGCAGGGCGTGCACATCTCCAAGGTCGCGGAATCAGGTAAAGACCCCCAAGCCCCAGCCCAACCTTCAGAGCAGCAGCTGCTGTCCTAATGGACCATGTACATGAATGTGCATGCAAATAGACATTCTGAGAAATGAGAGAAAAAATTCAAACTCAACTAAACACTCTAGACCAGAGGTAGGCCTGGCTGAGCAGCTGCAAAGCACAGCTGTTCCAGCCAGCTTGGAGCTAGAGCCTTATGGGCCAGGCCACGTGGAGCCTTGAGCCCCCATCCATCTGTCCCCAGGGGCCTCAGGGTATGTCCTCATACCTCTGTGGCAGAGGGAAAGGAGGCTGTTTCCAGGGTCAGTGGTGACCTGTGACCACAATAGCTCCTGGAACCCAGGGCCAGGAGTCTGAGCCAGACACCCCATTCTTATGGGTGGTGGTCCACCCAGAGCTTGCAGGAACCTTCCAGCCCCTGGTATGGCAGACCCACAGGGGCTTGAGCAGCCCAGCAATGCCTTGACACAAGTGGAAAGGCCCTCGGCCACAGGGCGCCCTGGTGTCATCCATTAGTCTGGCACCACGGGGCAGGGAACGGGACATGGGCACAGGCTGCAGGTGTCCACACTCTGACCCTTCATCCTCAGGGCCTGGCCTGGCCTTCATCGCCTACCCCCGGGCCGTCACGCTGATGCCTGTGGCCCCACTCTGGGCTGCCCTGTTCTTCTTCATGCTGCTGCTGCTTGGTCTCGACAGCCAGGTTTGCAGGGAGAACAGGACAGAGGGAGCCGGGAGGGTGAGGAAGGGCTGGTGGGCAGAGGGCATGCTGTGCCAGGGGAGACAGCAGGTGGAGGGGCGTGGCCTGAGCAGCCCGGCCACAGTTTGTAGGTGTGGAAGGCTTCATCACCGGCCTGCTCGACCTCCTCCCGGCCTCCTACTACTTCCGTTTCCAAAGGGAGATCTCTGTGGCCCTATGCTGTGCCCTCTGCTTTGTCATCGACCTCTCCATGGTGACCGATGTGAGTGGGGACAGGGTGGGGGCTGCCCCTGGCCTCCAACTGCCATCTGCCACCTTCCCTGACCTGGCTCCATCCCCAGGGCGGGATGTACGTCTTCCAGTTGTTTGACTACTACTCAGCCAGCGGCACGACCCTGCTCTGGCAGGCCTTCTGGGAGTGCGTGGTGGTTGCCTGGGTGTATGGTAGGTCTGAGCCAAGGGGTGAGCTAAGGGTGCAGTGCAGTGTGGGGTGGTGGGTATCCAGCTCAGGCCCTCCCGCCTCGCTTCACCCCAGGAGCCGACCGCTTCATGGATGACGTTGCCTGCATGATTGGGTACCGACCTTGCCCCTGGATGAAATGGTGCTGGTCTTTCTTCACCCCGCTGGTCTGCATGGTAAGGCCCGAGGTGGCTGGGCAGGGCGAGGGGCGCCAAGGGCCTGCCAGTGGCTGAGCGCAGGCTCCCACCCGCAGGGCATCTTCATCTTCAACGTGGTGTACTACAAGCCGTTGGTCTACAACAATACCTACGTGTACCCGTGGTGGGGCGAGGCCATGGGCTGGGCCTTCGCACTCTCCTCCATGCTGTGTGTGCCCCTACACCTCCTGGGCTGCCTCCTCAGGGCCAAGGGGACCGTGGCTGAGGTTAGTTCCCTGTGCCCTCTCCCCTATGCCAGCCCCTCCCTTCTACTGGGTCAAGGCCTTAACCTCCAGATGCCCATTCTCCCACCCACCAGGATGGACCATTGTGCTGGAAGCCTCTGGGTCAACTCAGACCATTGTGGGGGGCGTGGAAGGAAAGCTGGCAGGGGGAGGAGAGGCCTGTCCCTAGCCTCCATTCTAACAGCCACTCAACTCTGTTTCCAGAGTGCAAGGAGTGGGGCCTGGTTTGTAACCCCGGGAGGAGCAGTCCCTGAGCCCTGTGTCAATGGCAGGTGGTGGGAAGTGGAGAGAGGCCAAGGATGAGTAAGGGCCCCTCCCAGGGGACTCAGCGTGTCTCTTTCTCCTGCAGCGCTGGCAACACCTGACGCAGCCTGTCTGGGGCCTCCACCACTTGGAGTACAGAGCTCAGGACTCGGATGTCAGGGGCCTGACCACCCTGACCCCAGTGTCCGAGAGCAGCAAGGTGGTGGTGGTGGAGAGCGTCATGTGACAGGCACCCCAGCTCACATCACCAGCTCACCCTCTTGTAGCCATAGCAGCCCCTGCTTTAGCCCCCCCCCGACCCATTCAGGGGGCTTGCCTTTCCCTGACACTTTTGGGGTCTGCCGGGGGGGGGGGAGAAGCACCATGAGTGCTTATAACTAAAATAACTTTTTTCCATTTTTAATAAAACACCAAAAATATCACAACCCACCAAAAATAGATGCCTCCCCCCTTAACCAAGCTGGTACACACACTGCTTCCCAGGCCCTGCCGCCTGCCCTCCCCCCAGTGCCCGCTGTGGACGCGTCTCACTCCACCCCACCATGCCCACCCTGCCTGCCTGCCTCTTAGGCTCTGCCCAACACACCCTTGGGTGGTCCCTCACCCCAGAGGCAGCAGTGGCAGCTTGGGAAACAGGAGAGGAGAGGGGGGAGGCAAGGGAGGGGCAGCGGAACCAAGGTGAATATTTCAGCTGGGCTAGACCCCTCTCCCCATCCCTACTCTAGAAGCTTAGAGAGCCAGCCAGCAATGGAACCTTCTGGTTCCTGCGCCAATTGCCACCAATATCAATTGTGTGAGCTTGTGTCCGAGTGCATGTGTGCGTGAGTATGTAGGGTATATACAGATCTCTATCTCTTAGCAAAGGTGAATACCAGGTGTAAACTGTGCCTGTGGGCAAATGAGGCTTGTATTTTGCACATTTTATAAAAACTTGGAGAGAGATTTCTGCTTGTATATTTCTAAAGAGAAAACACCCCGACGTCCCTCTCCTTGCCACTCTCTGTCCCTTTCAGCCCATCCTTATTCCTGTGCCCAAGCCAAGGAGTGTGAATTTATAGATCTAATTTTCATAGGCAAAACAAAGCTTCAAGCTGTCGAGCGTGCGAGTCTGTCACGTGGGTATGCATGTGTAGTCCCCGGCCCCAGACTGGGGTGGAAAAGTGCATGGTGAGGGCCTTGAGGGGAGTCCCCACACTCCCCCCTTGCCCACAAGTTGACGGATGCCGTGTTCTGTCCGGGTGGATCTGGGGCTGCTCACCTGGCATGCTCAGGCTTGCCTACACCCTGCCCCCTGCACTGGGCAGACTGCAGGGATCTGAGGTGGGCCCCAGCCGGGGAAGGGATCCCGGCCACGGCTGCCACCTGCGAGCTGAAGGCTGATGCACTTTCCATGTCTCAAGTCTTCCAGGTAGCAGCTGTACTTAACCCCCGTCTGTGTCACGTCCAATCCCGAGGCAGCCAAGAGGACCCCAGAAGGGCTTCCCCCACAACCTGACGTTGGCTGGAGGGGTGGGGCTGGGTGAGGGCGGGGGGCCAGCGGGGACATTCTTACTGTGCTAAAAAGCCACTGCAAACATAGCAATAAAAACATGTCATTTTCCAAAGCTGGCTCCTGCTCCACCTCTGCTTGTCTTGGGGGGAGGAGGTGGGACTGGAGGGGGGCGGGGAGGCCTCCCCACCTCGAGCTGCTTTCTTGGGCAAGTATTTGTTCTGCACCCTGCCTGTTCCAGGAACTGAAGACAGAGCAGGCAAGGGAGCCGGCAGAAAGTGGAGCTCACTACTTGGGGAGAAAGGGTGACAGTGTGCCGAGAAGAGACACGACCAGCAGGGAAGGTGGTATGAGGTCTTGGGAAAGTGGGCAGGAAGTTGCAGGCACTGAATTTCCAGAAGGTTGCCCAAATGCCGCACTAAACAGGTGACCTTCCAAGGTGAAGGCGGAGAGCTAGGGAGGCGGCAGCAAGAGGCTACAGCAGAGCTGGGGGAAGTTGGAGGTCCCTGGGACCAGGGCACCAGCTGTGCAGGGGAGAAGTCTTTGGATTAGAGACCTGTTTGCAAGGCAGAGCCAGCCCAGCTTGTGGACAGCTAGGATGCAAGGTTGAGAGAGGAGTCAGTGAGAGACTGAGCCTGAGCACCAGGAAGGATGGTGTTGCCGGGCCCAGCGCTGAGAAGAGAAGGTTTGGAGGGGGCGGTGGTGTCATCCCAGTGGAGACATCTAGTGAGCAGGTGGACAAGGAGTCTGGAGTTCTAAAAAGAGTCTGGTCTGGAGAGAGAACTTTGAAGTTCTCAGCACATAAAGAAGGCCCTGAAAGCCCCGAGCCTGGCTGAGCTCACCAAGAGCAGCCAAGTGGGTATAGAGGGAGAAGCGGCCCCAGCACTGGGCCCTGGGACACCCACAAGTGGCCAAGAAGACGGGGAGCTAGCAGCATAGACTGAGCAGTGGGGGCCAGAGGGGTGGAAGGGACCCCAAGAGTGCCAGGCGGGTCCTGGAACATGAGTGAGGCTCCCCGGGGTGGGCGCTCAGGGAGGAGGGAGTGATCGGCTCTGTGGGGTGCTGCCGACAGTCAAGGGAGATGAGGCCCCAAACGCTCACCGGGACTTGGCAACAGGATCATGGAGACATGGACAAGAGAGGTTTGGGGGGGGTGGGGAGTGTGTGTGCAAAAGCCTGATTGGAGTGGGATTAAGAAAGAGGAGGAGGAAGCAATTCAAGTGTCCATCAATGGGGAAATGGATGAACAAAATGTGGTCAATCCATGCAGTGGAATATTATTCAGCCTTAAAAAGGAAGGACATTCTGACACGTGCTACTGCCTGGATGAACCCTGAAGACATACTAAGTGGAAGAAGCCAGCCACGAAAGGACAGATACTGTATGATTCCACCTGTGTGAGGTCCCGAGAGCAGTCAACTTCAACTTCACAGAGACAGAAAGGAGGATGGCGGCTGCGGGGGGGCAGGGTTTCATGGGGACAGTTTCAGCTCAGGAAGATGAACAAGTTCTGGATGGTGGGGATGGCTGTGCAGCAATCTGAATGTACTTGATGCCCCTGAACTGTAATCTTAAAAGTGGTTAAAACGGCAGTTTTAGACTACGTATATTTTACCACAATTTACAAGAAGGGGTGGGGAAGCACTGGCCAGAGTGACTCCATTCAGATGCCTGTGGGCGGGGACCTCATGCACAAGAGGCTGCAGTCGTAGGTGCAGGAGGGCACTCCCTCCATCCGGAGGCCTGGAAGAAGGGTGGGATGAGGCCTGGGCTGGGTGGCAAGGCTTGGGAGCTTGCTGTTCACTCTAGATGTCAGCCTCGGGGGGGGGGGGGGTCCCTCAGAGAAAAGTGACAGCTTACTCCCTCATGGGCACTCCCAGGACAGTCCCTGCACTTTAGCAAGACATGGTTCCCTTAGCAAAGAAGAGGCTTTAGCCCTCAGCTGTACAGCCAGGGGCAGGCTCTGGCTTGTGACACTGCCTTCAGCCATGCTGTGATAGTCGCCAAGAAGAACCTGGACAGGGGGCAGGGCCTCCTCGCCCCTCGAGCTTGACAAGGAGTGTCAGCTCAGCAAGGCCTGAGCCCAACTCAAGCCAACCCTTTAGAGCCTATGCCGGCATGTGGAGAGGCGCCTCCCCAGAAAGACTACTGCCTGGCCCCTGCAGGACCTGACAACCTGACTCCTGACAACCCTCATCCCACCTTCTCTTCAAGACTTGACACTCCACACACCCTCTTGCTCTCAGCACATCCGCAACCTCCAGAACCCCGACTGCTGGCAGCTCCCCCATCTCCAGCCTGGCTCTCCTCAAGTGAGGAGGCCCCTCACCCCACACCCTGCCCCCAACAACTCCTGCATCAGCAGTCCCTGCCTCCTCCCCACCTGCGACCTAGCCTGCAGCCTACTGTCATCCCCAGGCCCGCTCCGCTCCCCATCTGGGGCTCACACCAGCCCCTTAATGTCTCCACTCCCCCAAATGTGGCCATGCCTTGGCTCAGGTCCTCGTCATCTCTTGCCAAATGGCCTCTAAGCCACCTGCCACAATGCCACCAAAAGATTCAGAAAACATTGACATCACAAGAAGAGAACTTGACAAAGGTCAGATCACTTGGTCAGGGCCCTGAGAACGGTGGGCAGGCACCATTTACTCAAGAATTTGCCCCTGTGGTAAGGGCTTAGGACACAGGGACTGGCAATCTAGTGGGAGAGGTGGGCCCATGGTACCCACCGGGCTACCACAGCCAGGGGCAAGGCGGGGGATGCTGTCAGGAACATTGTGAACACAGTCCGGCTCCGAGCAGAAGGCTATTGGCGAAACACAGCACTCAGGTTGGGTCTGAGGGGCCAGTTTCTGCAGGTGGCCCTCCAGCCTAGGCTGGCCCAGCACCTCACTTTCCAGCTCTAAGAGTCTGTCGCTCCCATTCCTATCTCGCGCCCCACCCCACCCCCACGGCTAGATGAGGTACTCAAAAAGTGGCCTTGTGCAGCTTTCTCCCCCCTGCCTTGCCCAGGGCCTAACGCCGAGGGGGTTCAGAGGCTGCCTGGGGCAGGGCAGGGCAGAACCTGAAGACACGCTGTTTGGACTTTGGCCTCTAGAAGTTCAGAGAAGGGCAAGTTGAGGGAGGCCAAAGTAGTCAGGGAACACTTCCTGGAAAAGTAGGACTAGCCCTCAGCCTTGACATAGCAACCAGAGGGCGTCACCTGTGGGCCCCCTCCCCCACAGACACCCTCTTGCAGGCTGGCTAGAAAGGGGCGGCACTCCCCAGGAAAGTGTGAAGAAGGGACACTAGAGATGGCAGCACAAGGCTGGGCAGCACCAACATCTTCAGGGGCCCCCCCCATTCCAAAAGAAAACACCTCTGGCCTGCTCACCTGGTCCCTCCACCCAGTCCTCCAGGCCAGCAGAGGACAGCGGCTACCTGCCGAAGCCAGCCTGGGGAGTCACCGACGGGGAGCCCACTGCAGGAGCGGGTTCCTCAAGCAGGCCAGTGCGCCTGACATGTTCGTGGGGCTGCAGGCAGCAGAGGGGGTACCCGATCCATCCAGAGCCCCTCCCCAACACCTAGCTCTGCCCTGGGCCAGTCGCAGGTCACTGCCAAGGGCGAGTCTCCTCTCTGAGCTGGCATTAGTCAGAGGTCATCCTGCAAACCTTCAGGAGGGGGTGGGGCAGGGAGTGACTGGTGGCACTCTGCCACATTCTATCTGTCCTAAATGTGATGAACAGGTCCCGGAGAAGGCAGGCAAGTCTGCCACCCGGAAGCCCCACTGGTTTACTGAGTCTTCCAAGCTCACCAGGGCCCAGCGGCCAAGCTCCAGAGAGACAAACAGGACAGACACACCCCAAGTGGCCATAAAGTGGGGCCTGGCCTAGGGAGGAGGAGGCAGAGGGGTGGAGAGGGCAAGTGTGAGCCTGAGCCCGGCCAGAGATGAGGGAGCCTTCAGGGATTAGAACAAGTTGAAAGAAAATACCCTGAGGGCCTCCAGGGCAAGACTAGGAGTCTGTCAGAGCTGCCTGCCGCCACCTTCCTGGTCACTCCAGGGATGGGGGAGAAAGAGGCTTCCTCGCGGCCTGTTTCACGCACGCACCACAGATACTTACTTCATGACAACCTTTATTGCCCCCAAGAGAAACTCTACTCTGCCTGCTCCACCCACCCTCTTGCAGGACCACAGAAAAGGGGACTTGGAGCCCCAAACATCAACGCGCAAAACAAAAAGGGGCTCAACCCAGCGGGCAGCAAGCCCCACCATGCCTGGTGACAGGTGCCCAAAAGGCTCCTGGTCGGCCAGGAGAGAAGCAAGCTCATCCTGAGCGGGCAGAAACCAGGGCCCCTGTGGTATGCTGGGAGAGCGTGGAACTGCAAGCAGTGCAAGGGGCCAGGAAGCGGAAGGGAGCAAACCGAAGTACCAAGGGTTCTCAGGAAGCAGCCAGTGCAGGCCAGGTGGCAACCGGCACAGGCGGGGAGGAGGACCCTCACTCCTCCTTCTTGTCCGTGGGACCATCTACCGCCGCCTGGAAGGGACAGAAATCGCAAAGCAGTGGGTTGGCAGGGCGCCCCTCCACCCCAGAAGCCCAGTGTGGTGCCCCCTTCCCCCAAATGACAGGTATCCAAGTAAGCATCTGAAGGCCTACCACGGTGGGAGTGACCCCACTCTAGTGAAGGCTGCAAGCCTAACACCAGCCGGGGGGTGCAGCTGGAAGCCTCTGCTGTCACTTTCCTTAGAGCCGCCAATCTCACACCAACACGTCCCCTTGGGCCCCACTCCACTCCTGCCTTCATGCCCACGGCAGCCTCGGCATTCAAGTCCCAGCTCCTGGTCCCCTGACCACAGACCTTATACAGGTCCTGCAGGTGAGCCTGCCCTACACTGAGGCCACTGGTTCCTCTTTGGAGGCTGGGCTTTCCCTCTCTGCCCACTATGGTACCCAAACTTGGGCCACCAAGTGCAGAGGCAAGCTGTCAGAACTTAGGGCTGTTTACCTGGTCCTCACACCCAAGTTCCAGGCCACCTGAGCTCCCAGAGATGCAGCTAGTCTGAGGATTCAGACCAGGCTTGGGGGTGTACGGCTGCGATGGCCCGAGCTCTTTGGCCCACATCACCCCGCAG